GGTGACCTGAAGCTGCTATTTATAGCCTCTCAAGCAGATGGCAATTTCAACTACTCATGATAAATCACCTCCTTTACTAGGACAGCCTGGTACCTCCCTACACTGCCTAGTATTTCAGAGTGAATACAAAATGGAATGAAGAGCTCGAGATGCATCGGTACAAGTTTACTGAAGTAGAAGATTTTAATTTTACTAGTGTTATCCTTCTTTTCTTTATTATAGATAACTGTTGGAATTTGGGGAAATAAAAATTTTGATGTATCATCATGTATCCCAGTTTCATTTATTTAAACTCCTTAGATTGAATGAAAAAGCAGGCATCCTGTTTAGCATTAAGGAGAAAAACTTTGCTAGAAGCTATGTTCAATTATGGCCTTGGAACCATATTCTGAGAATGAAATTAGTGATAATATAGTTTTATTCTTGTTCAACAAATCAATTTATGATTTTAATTGTTTTTATTGAGAAGTTGATGAGCTTAAATTGCTTATATTTGAAGACATAGAATGACCTGATGGTATCATTGTTATAGCTTTAACTTGAGGAAATGCTCAAAATTTACAAGAAACTGCTGGATGGGATGAAAGAAGATGCAAATGAGGATAAGAGGTAGCTTTCTTCCTCTTTCTTTCCCTTCTGGTAGTTAGAAGCCAATGTTGTGGATAGCGGTTCCTGCAATGAGGTACAGGACACATCCACTATTCTTACTCTTGGTTTTGAAGTTATCCATATGCTTTGTATTAATCCAATTTGATGGCATTGAGTGAGAACTGAGAAGGAAAAAGATACCTCTCCCCTATTAATTATTCAATCAAGTTCTCTACTTTTATAGATGGACCATATATGATGGGATCATCTCCCAACTTTCTCATGTCTGTCTTAAATGCCGGTAGGCGTATTCACTCCATCTGTTAGTGTTTGGAACTTTGTCCATTCCTTTTTCTTGTAGTGTGTGTGACAGGTTAGAAAGAAAACATACAAAGCAATAACCACAAATAAATATTACTTGGTCTTCTTTGTGTTTCATGAACATGTCAAACAGCTAAAGCCTATAAGAGCCGGCATTTTCTGCACTCTGAAGTCTGAACTCTTCAATAGAATTATCCATTAGTTTACATAAATAGGGAGTTATAATTTAAAGAAGAAATTTTTTAATATATGTCTTTAAAATGCAAATTAAGAGTATATTTATTATTAATTTGTGTACAAAAAATAAAAATTGACTTTAAATTAACCATCTAATTAAAATGGTTCACATAGTATTAATGTTGATAATAAAACTTAATTTCATAATTTTTTTATATAAATCAATAATAAATATATTTTAATTTATACATTAAAAACAGATATTACAAAAAGCTTTATCGTGGTTGCAACTTGCAAGGCAACGTCGGTAACAACCTAAACGGGCGAGTGGTCCATTAATCTCATAAAAAGTAATATCATTTATCAAGGGTAATTCATAGTAGCCACCAACGAACATTATTTGGGCAGAAAGGAGAAAAATAGTAGGGACCCCCATATAAGTTGTAAAGTCCAAATTCATGCGAATGATGCTCGAGGGTACGGGCCAGAAGCCATCTTCCTCTGAGCTAGCACAATTGGACTGGAGTTCGAGGGTAATCTTGAAAACATTAATAACCATTTGGACTTATTGTCAAACTTCAGTGTTTTGGAACTAAATTTGTTTTCTCAATCCAGTTCTCATACTCTTTTGGGGGTCAATTAGGCCCCTATACTACACAATTTCATCTTCCTTTGACAACGTTTCTTGGTTTTTTAATTTTTAATTTTTACATTTATTTACTATTTTAAAAATACATAAAATATTAAATATATTTTATACATTTTAAAGATATTAAAAGATTAAAAAACTTATAATTACAACTACAGATTAATATTGTCAAACTAAATTTAATCTATTAAGAGTCAACTTTACTTAAAAAAGAGTCTTGTAATTTTACTTCTTTATTTGAGGAATTGCGTAGTCAATTACATTAATTTACATGAAAATTGATGTGACAATGCTTGCTTTGTAAAAAAAAAAATCCATTTTATTTGAATTTTATAAACATAACAACATATTCTTTTGTTATGTATTATTGTCACATTAGCATCTACTTAGTCAAAAAAAAAAAAAGAAGGAAGTTTAATGAAAATGTTAAAAGAAATCACATGGCTTTTCCCACCTAACAATAGTTGGCCTAAGCAAACCGAACATGGACCCAATGGACCCCGGGCGGGTTTGCGGAAGAAAAAAGTTTCGGGGGCTCATTTAAAGACTACGTACAAAACAATCATCTCGTTCTCATTGTTGTTTTTCAAATCTGATTAGGACAGGTAATTTTTAAAAATTAAAATTTGGCTCTCTCCTTTTTTTTTGTTGGAAAAACAAGAAAATCTCTATTTTCCATTTTCCACTGAAACTTTTTATTTTGGAATTGGAAATTTGATATCAGCACAGCAGGTTGTGATTGATTGATTGATTGATTGATTTTTCTTCCACGGCCGTTCCGTTCAAACCGGTTGCAAAGGAGGGATCTACGCCCCCCCAACGGAGGAAGTAAGTGAAAGCACCATCGTCATCGTGTGTTCATTTATAACACTCTCGTGACTCTTGCCCCTTTCAGCTTCCCATTCCATTTTTCGCCCTCCATTTCTCCCCCCCACCCACACGAACGTCTCCGCCGCTTCTCTTTCCGCCGGACTTCAGCTCAGATCTCCAAATCTCCTTCCCCGGTGCAATTGGTAAGTGCCTCCCTACTTTCCGCTCCCTGCATTGCATCCGTCTTCTCAGTATGGTGGTTCATTTTCCATTTTTGTTTGTCTCTTGTCGTATTTCAATCATTTTGGTGCGTCTTTTCGGTGGATCCACGAGTTTTTCTTGTTCGGATTTCAGCGAGCTGGATTGTAATTTAAGCTAAATGCTTCTGGAAAATTGTAGTATGCGCAGGAGCTTATAGATTTTGAGGTCAAATATGACCTATATTCTTATTATCCAGAATGTTTGTGTATTGTGGATCTCTACTTTCTTTATGAGTTTTTCGGTTTTGGAACTTTCATTTTCTCCGATATGGTCAGTGTTGTTGGCCTTTTATTTACCATTGCTTTGACCTCTGTAGTTACTGATGTGTGATTGAGGAGCAGTATAAAGGAGGAGAGCAGCTTTGGTTTCTTTGGAGAGACTTTTCATGTCATGATCATTGATGTGAAGTCAACAATGTCTCAGAGTATGAGAAGAAATAGGCTGTCCTTTAGCTCAAGCAATGGAAATGACGAAACTCCTTCGCGCAGCTCGTTTTCCATTTCAAATGGAGATGATTATGATAGTGACGGCTCCAACTTTGCACCTGCGTATGTTTTAGATAATTGAACGCTTCCTTTCCATATCTTTTTTTTTTTTTTTCGGTTCTTCTGTTTTCTGTTCACAACTGAATTTCAGATTCTGCACTATTTTAGAGTGAGTGATAGACTTGAAGGTCTAACTGCTGTGTTCTAATTCATTGTTTGTGGCAGCACGCCATCAACATTGTCCATGGCAGTCCCAGCTGAACTTGCTGGTGCTATACCCTTGGTTGATAAATTTCAGGTAGGAAACGATGGTTTCTAATTCTCAACTAATTATGCTGAAGAAAAGCTATTGCTCATTCCTTGTCACTTTTCTGATTCAGAATAAAATGACCTGATTTGATTTTAGTCTTATGGTTTCCTCTTTGGTTAAATGTCTTTTGACATTCATCTTTTTTGCACAATTGCTGTATATAGGTGGAGGCATTTTTAAAAATGATGCAGAAACAGATCCAGTCCGGTGGAAAACGGAGCTTCTTCTCAAAAAAAGCTGTAGGTGTTCCAGTTCGAGAAAAGTTCACATTTGAGGATATGTTGTGTTTCCAAAGGGTAACCACATTCCATGTCTCAAGAATATTTAATATTTTGTTCAGATGAGTCTTGAAGAGCTAAGTACAAGTATTTGCAGGAACCTATTCCAACTTCGCTCCTTAAAATCAATGGTGACCTTGTGAGCCGAGCAACAAAAATGTTCCAAGTAGTTCTAAAGTACATGGGAATTGAATCTGATCGTGTATCTTCAGTAAGCTTGGATGAACGAATCGAGTTTGTTGGGAAACTATACAAGCATACTTTGAAGCGTGCAGAACTCCGTGATGAACTTTTTACTCAAATTTCAAAACAAACAAGAAATAACCCTGATAGGTATGCACATGTTTATAAGATTATTCTCATTCTTCTTTATCATGCATTTTTCCCAATGTATATACTATGTATGCCATTTGTGGTTATTTGTAGTCCATATTATATTCATCAAGTTGGATGTTACAGGCAAAGCTTAATTAAAGCCTGGGAGCTGATGTATTTATGTGCATCTTCCATGCCTCCTGGCAAGGACATTGGAGGATATTTATCTGAGTACATTCATAATGTAGCAAATGGCACAAGCACTGATTCTGAGGTCCAAACTCTTGCATTAAATACATTGAATGCTTTAAAACATTCCGTTAAAGCTGGCCCTAGGGTTACAACACCAGGGCGTGAAGAGATTGAAGCACTTCTAACCGGTCGAAAGCTAACAACAATAGTTTTTTTCTTGGATGAAACTTTTGAAGAAATAACTTATGACATGGCAACTACAGTATCAGATGCTGTTGAGGTACTGTTCGTTTTCTGTAGACTTACATCTGATTTCATGCATTCTTTTATGATACTTGTGACTTTGCAAATATGAAAATCAAATTAAAAAAATACTTCTATCACATTTATTTGTTAAACTTGTGAGCCTTCCTGCTTGGGAGCAGAAGGCAAAAAAGACATGCATCATAGCTACAAGCCCAAATAGTTCCCTCTGACACAAATAAATTTTCTTCAATGGTTCCTTAAGCAAGTAAGTGAAAAGGTGAAGAAATCTCTTCTGATTATTGAAGGAAACATAACAGAATTCCATACAAGGTTTTATGCTGATAAAAAAAAGAGAGGATTTTTTATATTGTTTTTATCACAATTTCTATATGAAATGATTGTTTTCTGTTAAGTGCTGCTGTTTGTGTTTTGTATGGTCCAGGCTCTATTTTCAAATAAATAAATAAATAAAATGGAACATTATTTGGTGCAGACTGCACAAAATATTCTTGCAGTTATAGAAGGTGCAGTGATTAAATCATTCTACTAGTGCATCTGCTGTAGTTGGGATAAGCTGATTTGACTGATCTATTCCTATATTGCAATTATGAAATATGTTTGTAAAGTTCCTTCTTATAGGTTTTGTTCTGTAATTTAGATTCTTATAAACCTGTTGAAAAATCAATTCAATTTTTTGTTTTTCATTGTGCCATCAACCAGAGGATTCTGTTTTATAACATTCTATTTAATTTTTCTTTTCTAACCAAATGTAGGCCAAAATGGTATATGTGGATTAGAAATTACTTAAGAACACTATCTGTGCTTTGCCCTCAACCAGCATACTGAATCAGCATACAGCTTCGATGCAGAACACTTGACATGCTATGTTTTCTGCCACACATTTTGTTCTTTGGTTTTTCTATATGTTTTTGAATTGCATTGTTTCAGGAGCTTGCAGGTATAATCAAACTGTCAGCATATGCTAGCTTTAGCCTGTTTGAATGTCGTAAAGTTGTGACTGGTTCTAAGTCACCCGATCCTGGGAGTGGTACTTATTCTACTAACTTCTTGATTACTTCCTGGATAAGGATTTATTGAAATGATTATCTAATTTGCCTTTTCTTGTCATCTAGAGGAGTACATTGGGTTAGAAGACAATAAATATATAGGGGATCTGCTAACAGAGTTTAAGGCAGCCAAGGACCGAAGTAAAGGAGAAATTTTACACTGCAAACTTGTATTAAAAAAGAAGTTATTTCGGGAGTCAGATGATGCTGTAACAGATCCAATGTTTGTGCAGCTTTCTTATGTTCAAGTATGTTCTTCTTTTAAAATTTGTGTAGAGTAGTCTTAACATATGTAAAAACTACCCCATAATTAACTTCTAAAATTTTTTATGTTTTATGCAGTTGCAACATGACTATATGTTGGGCAATTATCCAGTTGTAAGGGATGATGCTGCACAGCTATCTGCATTGCAGATCTTGGTTGAGATTGGATTCGTTGTTTCCCCTGAATTGTGCACGTTAGTATCATTCACAATCTTCATTGAATTACCAATTTCTGATTTATTTTTCAGTAGCAGTTTCTTTTCATCTGCTTGGCTTATTAAGCCCAATGGAATCATTTTTCAGCAAGGGACTTTATTTATAACCTTAAAGGATTTTACTTGACAATGTTAATGTTCTACAGTGATTGGAATTCACTACTAGAAAAATTCCTTCCAAGACAAATTGCAATTACCCGAGCAAAGCGAGAATGGGAGCTAGATATTCTCTCTCGTTACCGGTTAATGGTAAAAAGGATTTCTTCATATTTATTCTTGACTGATTATTTTAATTTCCTTAAATTAAGCTGTTCAGATATAAAACTTGTCATGGTTCCAATGTCACATAGGAACATTTGACGAAAGATGATGCAAGACAGCAATTTCTACGGATACTGAGGATGCTTCCATATGGGAATTCGGTTTTCTTTAGTGTTCGCAAAATTGATGATCCGATTGGACTTTTGCCTGGAAAAATCATTTTGGGTATCAATAAGCGAGGGGTTAGTTTTACAAATTATCTGCATTGACATAATTTGTAATGATTATTGTTGCCCATGCACAGTATACATTTTAGTCCTTCGACAGTAATTTATTTGTCCTTTATTCTAGGTTCACTTTTTTCGGCCAGTTCCAAAGGAATACTTGCATTCTGCTGAATTAAGAGATATAATGCAGTTTGGTAGTAGCAATGCTGCTGTCTTTTTCAAGATGCGAGTGGCAGGTGTTCTTCACATATTTCAGTTTGAAACTAAACAGGTGGTCTATCTTTTCCTGTGTTATTCTTTCCTTTTAAAAATGGTGGATTTGGGGGTTCTGTGTGGGCATTAAGGATAAATGTATGTCACTCCCAGAAATTAATTGGAAGGTAAAGCCAAAAAATCACAAAAGTGCCTTAGAGACTGCTAACTAATACAGTTATTACAATTTACATTCAAACAATTCTGTTGTTCCTTTATCATTTTTTTTTAATTCCTCCATTTGGAATTTTAATGCCTTATAAACATTTTATTTTTGTTTGTTTATTTAAATTTTTAAAAATTTTATGCAGGGAGAAGAAATTTGTGTTGCTCTTCAAACACATATAAATGATGTCATGTTGCGTCGATACTCAAAAGCTCGATCTGCTGCTAATGGCTCAGTGAATGGAGATCTTTCTAACAGTTTTAAGCCTCCTAGCATAGAAGTGTATGAGAAACGTTTGCAGGATTTATCTAAAGCTGTTGAAGAATCCCAGAAGAAAATTAATCAAGTAAGTCATTTAATTAGTCATGTATAAATCTAGGTGCCTCTTTTTTGAAGTTAGACTAATGAATTGTGTACTTGAATTTAGTTATTGGGAGAATTGAATGATAAGCAAAAGCAAGAGGTGCAAACACAAGAAGAATTGGAGAGCTTGAAAGATTCATTGAGACTGGAAAAAGAAAACTTAGCACAAGTTACCAGTGATTGTGATAGATTCAAATCACTGTGTGGAGAAAATGATATTGCTCTTCAAGTTAGTATTGCTAATCTTTTTGCATTGTGTTCATCCATGATTTTGCATTTATTTTGGCAGATATTTATTTTAAATACCTTAGGCTGCAATAAGGGAGAAGAGAAACATGGAAGCTAGGTTGGCTAGTTTAAGCAATCTGGCATCAGGGAACAATGCCATGGATCTAGTTGGAACAAGTAATCAGGTAGAAATTTGTGAAAGTGAATTGCCATTGTTCATTTCTTCTTATACTAACTACTTCAGTCTCGCATCCAAGATAATATATTTTTCTTAATTTCCTGTGAATTTTCTTTGATCATGGCTTATGTAATGCAGGCATTAAAAAAGGTCCAGGAAGAGTTAAAGCTCCGAACTGGAGAGTTGCGTGCAGCAGAAGAAAAGGCAAAAAGATTAATAAATGAAAAGGTTATATTGGAAGAGAGGATTTCTACACTGGAAAAGAAGAAAACTAATGAGGTAGTCCTGCCAAGTGCGTCATATGATTTTGTGTGTATGGTGGGTTGTAGATGGTAAAGAACTGATCTAGTGATGTTAAAAATGTAGGTAGAAATTCTTGAGAGGCGCTTTGAGCCGGAACGCAGAGCCTTAAAGCTTCAAGTTTCTGAACTTGAAACAAAGTTCGAAGCTGTTAAAAAAGATTTGGCTGATGCAGAATCAAGTCTTGCAGTTAAAAATGCAGAATTGGCTGAATTGCAAACTAATTTAAAGGAATTGGAGGAACTGAGAGAAATGAAAGAGGTGACAGTTTCCCACTGTTTTAAAACAATTTGTGAGAGTATCTACTTTTATGTCAAGGAAATATTTAATAATTTCTACATGTTGGATGATACAATTTAACATTTCATTATCCCTTTTTATAAAATTCATTATTGAAACCATTTTTACATTTCGGGCAAAAAAAAAAAAAAGAAAAGAAAAGAAAAACCGTTTTTACATGTTAATTTACTTGTTTTCTCAGGATATTGACAGAAAGAATGAGCAAACTGCTGCTATCTTGAAGATGCAAGGGACTCAACTTGCTGAGTTGGAAGCACTTTACAAGGAAGAACAAGTTTTAAGAAAGCGCTATTTCAATACTATAGAAGGTTGCTAGGGCTAAGAAAATTTTTTAGCATATATTTTAAATGTTTGATGCTCATTATGACTATTCTGTCTACTTTTTAACTTGAAGTTTTTTTTTTTTTTTTCTTGTGGGTGAATCTTGCACATTTATCCTTTGTATGCTTAATAGATATGAAAGGCAAGATCAGAGTTTTCTGTCGTTTGAGACCTTTAATTGAGAAAGAGGAAGCTGAAAAGCAAAGACAGTCACTGTCAAGCTTGGATGAGTTCACAGTTGAACATCCATGGAAGGATGATAAAGCTAAACAATATGTATATGATCGTGTATTTGATGTCAATGCCACTCAAGAAGATGTTTTTGAGGATACAAAGGTAAGTTAGTAGGAATTGAAATAATTTATTGAGTTTTGGCTTGTTATAGAGGGTAGAACACTCAATATCTGTTTCAAGTACTTTATCCCCCTTTATATGTTACTTTACCTTTTGTTTTTGTAATGCAGTACTTGGTTCAATCTGCTGTTGATGGGTATAATGTCTGTATATTTGCTTATGGTCAAACTGGCTCTGGAAAAACTTTTACAATATATGGATCGGATGGTAATCCTGGATTGACACCTCGAGCTACTGCAGAGCTCTTCAAAATTTTAAAGCGAGATAGCAACAAATTCTCATTTTCACTGAAGGTATCTTCGCTGCTCTACAATGAATTTTTTTTTTTTAAACTTATTTATTGATCTTTAATTCATCCAGCCATACACAATCCTTGATATATTCTAGTTTACAGTCAAGTACAAGATTTACATTCTATTATTCAAAACATTTTGATATTAATCATAGAAATTGTGCAGGCATATATGGTGGAGATATATCAGGACACAATTATGGACCTTTTATTACCAAAGAATGCAAAGCGTCTTAAACTAGATATAAAGAAAGATTCAAAGGTAATATTTTATAAATGGGTGGACTTGGCTTAGAACTGCTTGACCATTTCTTCTTAAAAGATTAGATGTTTCAAGGCCTTTTTTTGTTGTAAATTTTGTATTGAGTGTTCCTTTTAATTTGATTGCAGTTGTGTGGTTAGTGTATGATTTTCATTTGGATTTTGAAACAATCTATTTTACTTACACGTGACATTCAGGGCATGGTAACAGTTGAAAATGTCACAGTTATTCCCATTTCTAAATATGAGGAGCTAAAAAACATTATTCAAAGAGGATCTGAACAACGACATACTTCTGGAACTCAAATGAATGAACAAAGTTCAAGATCTCATCTAATAGTTTCTGTTGTTATCGAGAGTACCAACCTACAGACACAATCTGTCGCAAGGGGAAAGGTAAGTCATATCTCTCTTGAATCTTATAACATGTCTTCTGTTCTATGGATATAGGAAACATAATGTAGAAAAGTTTGCACATCCTTGCATATTTTAATGTCAATAAGGAGAACTGAGTAGCTTGAGGAGGTTTAAAATATTTGGTGGGAAAATGTTTCATTTCATTATTGTTCAGTTGTAACCATCTTAAGATCTAATATGCAGTTAAGTTTTGTGGACCTTGCTGGTTCAGAAAGAATAAAGAAATCAGGTTCCACTGGTGATCAACTTAAAGAAGCTCAAAGCATCAACAAGTCACTTTCAGCTCTCGGAGATGTCATAAGTGCTTTATCTTCTGGCAATCAACACATTCCTTACAGGAATCACAAGTTAACGATGCTAATGAGCGATTCACTCGGTGGAAATGCCAAAACTCTTATGTTTGTGAACGTATCCCCAGCTGAATCAAATTTGGATGAGACATGCAATTCTCTCACGTATGCTTTCTCTCTTCATCGTCTTTTTTCTGATTATAATTATTTTATGGTACAAAGTACCTGAATCTTGTGGCCAGAAAGAATCTATTTCCCTTCGCAGAGCTTGATCTATAAATTCCTCAAATTTAGACTGGAACAAAAGCTTGTTATCTTAGTTGTTTTTTTTTTTTGATCTGCTGTTATCTTAGTTGGTTTAATTGAGCTGCATGAAAAAATTGTGTTGAGATGTCGAGATTTCTATAACAAGTGCAGCTAGTGTATTCTTACTTGCTATTGCTTTTTACCAAGTAGATGCATTTTTGTTTTGATAATGATGTTTTTCTAACTTCATTATCTAATTCAGATATGCATCAAGGGTCCGGTCAATAGTGAATGATCCTAGCAAAAACGTTTCCTCAAAAGAGGTAGTTCGGTTGAAAAAGCTGGTCGCATACTGGAAGGAGCAAGCTGGTAAGAAGGGCGACGATGAAGATCTTGAAGAGATTAAAGAAGAGCGGCCAACGAAAGACAAGACAGACAGTCGATAGACTCGATACTCAATGTAGAGTTCATGTCATGAAAACTGAGACCAGAAATTCTCTGCCTGAAAGCACTGGTAGGTCATGCAAATTGTTGGATGGGGTGACAGCATTAAATCAGAAAGGGTGTTTGACTGCCATAATTTTGGTAAGCACGTCTAACAGTGTCTTGAGTTAGGTAGGATGAAATGAGCCACGATTAGCTTGACTAAAAGATCAAAGTTGTACAGTATGAGTTATTTGTATATATTGTTACTGTTTTATTCAATCCATATTAATGTGATTTTATTTATTAATTTATTATTTTAAATTACAAAATAGAGGCAACTTTTCCTATTTTTTAACCCACTATATTTTATTTTTCAAAGTAGTCTCTGTAAAAGAGGAAATCAAGCTTTTGAGCTTCATTTCCATTGCCTATTTTAAAAAAATACAAAAATGCTTTTGAGCTTCGTTAAATCGAGATTGTATCGTCCAAACGATCTGCTGAATGCATAACTTGATAGGTGACGTTTTTGTCATAAAGGGGCTTTTAATACGCAACCATTGTGGGCTATGGTTATGTTATTATTAAATTTGTTAAGTGTATTAGAAATTATTAAATTTTAATTTTAATTTAATTATTAAAAATAGTTAATAATTAATAAAAATTAATATTAATTAATTAATAAATTAAAATTAATTTATACATAAATATTTTTAAATATAAAAATTAATTATTTTCAAGAGTTACAAAAACAATAATATAAAGATAATTTTTTAATAATTTTTTAATATACTATTTATATATTATTAAATTAATAAACATATTTAATGCTATAAATTTTAAATAAATAAAAATAATTAATATATAAAATTATATTTTAAAAAAATAACAAAAAATTATTCTTAAATTATTTTTCTAAAATTACAATTAAATTAATCAACTTAACCAAAAAAATAATAATTTGGTGACGATAACCTCATTCACATTGTGGGTTACAAGTTACAAATGCATCGCAATTTTTTTTTTTTTTGGAATTAGTACATATGCATTGAATTGGTGTCAGGCTGTCAGCATGTTCTGTTTTTATTCGACAATTCGACGTGGATTTTAATAACTTCTTGCACGGTTTGTCTGCTAATGAATGCCTCACGCAGAAACCGAACCTAACATGACCCTTTTTGGTAAGAAAAATCCAAATTCTTTTTTTACTCTTTATAT